TCCAATGTTCCTCCATATCTCCCCAGTATTCTAATAGAAAATATAAGTTAAAAGAGAGAGGTATCAAGCTATACTCGGCAGTAAATTACCGGGATCAAAATACCCGGGTATGAGCATATCCTCAGCTCCAGAAGACACACATTTGCACAACCGGATACACTACCTACTTTACCTGCTAACTTTCTCGTGGAATTCGAAGGAGATACCTATAGGTTGTTCCTAGATGGTGACGAAGTTAGATGCTTTTCTTGCCACGAAGAGGGACATATAAGCAAAAATTGTCCACTCAGCGAAGTTAAAAATCCCGATGAGGCCAATAACTTGGCCGTTTTGCCGTCAGCCGTTAACAGTTTGGTTGAAGCCCACGAAGAGCTGATGGAGGACAGGGGAGAAAACACTTCGTTTACCGCAAATGAAAATAATACAAATATCTCTCAGCATCTCGATTTTACAATCCTGAGTAAAGATGGCCCTGTAGCAAACCCATGCCCTGCTAAATCGGAAGATTCACAACACAGTGCAACAATCCAAAACACACAACAAAGTAACACTAAAAATAAAACTAACCTAAGAACAGTAATCACAGAACATATGTCTGCTACTCCAACTGAGATTCCTTTCAGTATAACCTCATTAAAAACAGGCAAACTAAAAAATAAACAAACCGAGAGTATAAAACAAGAAAAAATATTGAACAAAAGTAATAAAATAACAAAAACATTAGTTCCTATGGTAAAACGAAAAAACAACAATCAAACAATGAAGGAAATGTTAGAACCAATTCGTATTTTAGTCACAAATGACCACAAATATCCCTTAGCTTACTCAAAATTATGCCTCTTTCTTGAGATGGCTCATAATGAAAAAGCCAGTAACATCAAACAACTTGCCATACAGTTTACAAAAAATATCGATGGATTGAAAACTATGCTGACTGATGTAAGGCACAAGTTACCCAACAGAGGAATAAAGATTAGAGTATCAAAAATTATTAAAGAACTAAGTGGTATTGTTTCTAGTCCCAACACAGAACTATTTTCAGACTCTGACGATTCAACGCTTTCTAGTGTTGATCTTCAGGCCAAAAAATAAAAAAATGTTTAACTCCATGGAGCAAATAGTTCAGTGGAATTGTAATGGGTTATTTCGCCATTTAGAATTTTTTCAGAAATTAATGAATGAAGAAACTCCACTGTGCTGTTGCATACAAGAAACCCACTTGAATGAAAAACATGTCTTAAATGTCAAAGGATATCGAGCCTACAGAAGGGATAGACAAGGAGCAGGGAGATCTTGGGGTGGTGTTTTAACCCTTGTGAGGGCTGACTTATTCTCCGAGGAATTAAATTTAGACACACACATAGAAACAGTCGCAACAGTAATCAAAGGAGCTGAACCCCTGACAATTTGTAACATTTACATACCATCCGCTGTCGATTTCTCAAAGGATGACATTGAACACATTTTTAATCAGCTACCAAGGCCGTATCTTCTTTTGGGGGATTTTAACGCAAATAGTTTTCTTTGGGGCTCCCCACTACCAGACATTGGACATAGAGGACACAGCGTTATTAAATTTTTAGAATTTAGCAGCACTGCTACTCTTCTTAATACCGGTTCATTTACACACTTCGGCTCAGGAAGTAATAGTCTCTCTGCCATTGACTTAAGCATCGCGGACGTCAGATTGGCCCCCAAATGCATCTGGAGAACTAAAACCCACTTATATGGAAGCCATTTCCCCATCGTTATACAGGTTAATGGGCCGTCTCTTCCACAAAATATAAAGCGACACTGGAAGTATGAGGCAGCTGATTGGGAATCTTTTCAGAAATCAATTATATTGGCCAAGGATAATCTAGAAAGAACAGCTAATAACATAGATCTTCAATAATTTCAATAATAGCGAATTTCAGTAATTTCAGTAATTTCAATAATAGGTAGCGAATTTCAATAATATTATTCTGCAAGCAGCCTACGACAACATTCCAATCACAAGTAATGGTCTCCTTAAGAAAAGAGTTCCATGGTGGAACGAAAGATGTCAGGAAGCAGTGAAAGCAAAAAAGCGGGCTTTCAACAGGTACAAAAGAAGTAGGAGTTTCAATGACGCAGTTGAATTTAAGAGACTTCGAGCAATTGCAAATAGAACTATTAAAGATAGTAAGAAGTCATCGTGGAGAGAATTCGTTTCCTCTATTAACTGTGAAACACCAGTTACAGAAGTATGGAACAAAATTAGATCTATTCGTGGAATTAACAAAAAAAACACAATATCAGGGATAGATGTAGCAGGGAATATAATAACAAATCCATCAGAGATAGCAGAGACATTGGCACAACAATTTTGTAAACCATTGATTAGTTGCCTCAATAATAAGGAACCAGCGGACATTGCAAACCAAGGAGTAATGCCAAGGCTACAAGTGCCAAGTTCTAATGTTTGCTATGATGAACCTTTCACATTGAAAGAAATGGAAATGGTAATTAAAAAATGTCGTGGAAAGTCAGCAACAGGTATAGACGAAATTTCTAACGAAATGATAAAACACTTGAAGGTAATTATACTTATGAAGGTAGATTATACTTACTTCAAATATACAACGAGATCTGGGATGCTGGTGAACTCCCTAAGCTATGGAAAACCTCAATTATCACTCCGGTCCCAAAAAAAGATATTCCAACCCACCCAAATGACTTTCGTCCTATTTCATTACTATCGTGCCTCTCTAAATTACAGGAAAAAATGGTAAACAATAGACTTGTTGATTACATGGAACGAAACAAACTATTTACCCCCCACCAATTTGGTTTCAGAGAAGGACATTCCACAACTGATGCACTTTTGTTAATGCAACATGAAGCAGACGAAGCATTCTCTCAAAAAGAACATTTAGTTGCTGTCTTTTTGGACCTGGAAAAGGCTTATGATACCATGTTAAGAGGCCGCGTAATGCAAATCTTAGATAATTATGGTGTTCAGGGAAAATTGAAGGCATACATTGAGAACTTTCTTAAAGAAAGAAAATATCAAGTCAGAGTTGGGTCCTCCTTGTCGTCAATCCACGTTTCTCAAAATGGCACGCCCCAAGGTTCACCTCTAAGTGTAACTCTGTTTTTGATTGCTATGAATGATCTACCACCGAATTTCAAATGGCCTATTAAAATCATAATGTTTGCCGACGATGTATTATTATTAGTTCGCAGCAAATCTCTCTATTTTATTGAGTGGAAACTACAGAAAGCACTGAGAAAAGCAGAAAAATGGGCACGAAATAGCGGTTTTAATTTTTCGATAAATAAAACAAAGGCCATGCATATATGCAGAATTAGAGGATGCTCTACGAATCCTAAACTAAAATTAGGGATGGCCGACATCTTGTTTGAAGATCACCAAAAATACCTAGGAATCCATCTAGATAAAAGCTTAAAGTGGACTGACCACATTAAAGGTCTTAAACAAGAATGTTTAAAAAGACTTGGCCTCCTAAAGTGTCTTTCGCATTCTAGTTGGGGAGCTGACAGAAGCAGTCTATTAAAGGTATACAAAGCGATGATCCGAAGCAAAATAGATTATGGAGCATGTGTATATGGAACCTCAAAAAGAAGTATTTTAAAAATTCTTGACCCAATCCATAATGCTGCCTTGAGGATATGCTCAGGAGCTTATAGAACATCGCCAATTGAGAGTCTATATGCAGAATGCGCCGAACCATCCCTCGAGACAAGAAGAGCATTTATGATTGCAAAATATGGGGCCAAAATAATGTCACTTCCACGACATCCCTTACGAGACATCATATTAGATCCAGAAACAGTTTCAATCAATAGCAGTTTCAAGCGAAATATAATCCAAACAACGTTAGCATTCAATATGAACCTAAATTGCATCCAAAAGCTCCCAGATAAAAATTTTCCAAGGTGGAATCCTCCGAATATTCCTACAGAAAAATATATGTCCCACATCTCAAAAAAAACTCTAGTTTCGGATGAAAAAAAATCTTATTTTCTAGAATTATTAAATAAATACTGCAATTACAAAATATTGTACACAGATGCATCAAAAGCCGAAAACCAAGTGGGATTTTCAGTCGTTACAGACAGTGAAGAATTCCTGTACAAACTTTCAGGAGAATGTTCTATTTTTACGGGAGAAGCCACGGCCATAAAAGAAGCACTCTTACACATCCGCAGCAACCACTTCAAAAACCATGCTATCGTAACCGATTCAATGTCCGTAATAGAAGCCATAGAACAATTAACGAACCAGCATCCTGTTATAACAGACATTTTTAACATATATGGTGAACTAAAGGAAGAAAATAAAAACATAGTCCTTATCTGGGCACCATCACATTGTGGTATCCTGGGTAACGAGAGAGCCGATGCTGCTGCCAACTCTGCCCGGCGTCAAGGAACTGCACAAACCACAATAATTGATGCTATTCCTCGAGAAGATTGGACACACCAACTTGCCTGCTCCTTTCAAAATAAATGGAACATTGAATGGGAAATGAGTTCGGCAAAACTTCAGGAAATAAAAACAACATGTATCAAATGGAACACATCAAACAGAAAGTCTAGACGAGAAGAAGTGATACTATGTCGCCTAAGAATTGGCCACTGTGATTTTTCCCATGGATACCTCCTGCGAGGATTAGAAGCTCCAACTTGCACACATTGCCTAGTACCCAGAACAGTAAAACATATACTATTAGAATGTAGAAGGTACACCAATATAAGGAAAAAATTTCAAATGGGAACGGAAATGAAAACAATTCTGCAAGATGAAGAGAATGAAATAGAAAAATTGTTCAAATATCTAAAGAATATTCACTATTATCAACGAATATAAAATGGAAACATTAAGCCAATGACCCTTAGGGGTAGAGGCTAAATAAACAAATAAAAAAAAAAATAAAAAATATTTTTAAATATTTCAGGGTATGTTTTAACACATGCGTAGTTTTTCTAAAATTACAAGTTAAAAGTATATATTTTTAATTAAACATATTCGTAACATAAACAATATTTATATATTTTATTTACAAAATAATACATCGCTGATTATTCTTTAAAAACATTAATATATATTCACTAAATCTAAGTAATACATAACATTTGATAGTACGTCTTCATTCCACCCTTTCAGTCTGTGCTTTAATTATAAACCATATATTCGTTAATTTATTGACGCTGTAATCTTCCATTTTCTGTATTATCCACAGGATAATTTTGAGATTCAAGTTTTTGATTCTTCAGTTTCTTCTCTTTAGCTTGTCTTAACTGTAAAAATTAAATTAGCGATACAGCAATTATTTTAAAAATTAATTAGGAAATATAGTTTGATGATATTAGCTTAGTATGATAAACATCAAAGTCACATATTTTGGCTTCGTTAAAGATATACTGGTTGTTTAATGTTTCATTTATTAACTTGTTATATTTCTGGTGAATATACTTTACGATAAAATATGATTGGTAACATGGCTGCTACTGAAAATATAATAATTAAGATAATTTAAATATTTAAAGATTATTAAAGTAAGGTGATTACACATCTTCAGAATCTGAATGGAATCGCTAGTGAAATTTAAATATTAAAAAAAAATAATTATGGGTTAATAAACGCCAAATCATAAGAAGACATTTTGTGCTCAAAACCATGTACCTCTTTGGTTTTCCTTAGTAAAACTAATATTTATTGAAATAAAACTTTCGAAATATATCCATTTGTCATAAATACAATGCAAAATTTGCTGATGCCAAAATTTTATATCATGTATAAAGTAATTCTCAAACAAAAATTTTCAAACTTGTGATACAAATATCGAAAACTACCTGTAGTTCAAATCTCTCTCCAAATACCCCAATACAAGCGATTGAATGAATAATTGAAGGAACTTAGTAGACTGTTTAGACATATCATGGATTATAAATAGTGAGGACGCAGTCAGTTTTTAAGATTTTTTATTGTTCCCAAGGTTTCAACTCAAGCTTGTGAGTCATCATCAGGGTGCATGTCACCAGAACTGATGATGACCGAAATACAAGCTTGGTCTTTGTGTTGGCAACAATAAAACCATACATGTATATTAGTGTAAATAACTCACCGCTTCCTGCCTGATGGACTCATAAATGATATCTAATCCCTTCTGAACTTCTGGAGGAATTGGAGGAGGTGTGGGTAGGTGATCTCCTGTAGCCCTGAATCCACCTTCATCAGCGGTATAGCTTACAGAGACCTGCTTCCCATCGGGGTCGGTATATGAGTAGGAACCGAATTGAACCAAGGCTTCTTGTTCAGGTACACCAATGTTCTTTAAGAAGCCTGTCTCTTCGGCTTGAATGCTGTTTGCTGTTTCATAGCTGTTGGAAAATACCATTTTAATTATAAATATAGAATTATTAACAATGTTTCCAAGTAATTTAGTATTAATTGTAAATATATTCTGTATTATTACACTTGCAAGTATATAATTGTTTAGTAACTAATAAGAAGTTCCTCTGTTATGGTATTGTTTGGTCTAGAAACCAACCTTCAATAGCTAATTTCAGCTCGTTTGATCCGAAAGGGCCGCTATAGTTCTTATGTATATACATATATTTCTATACTTATATATCACACATCTCTGAAATCTCTTAAACCAGATAGTTTCGTTATTAAATAACAATAAAATTAGAGTACTTAGTAATACATTATCGAGGAAGGTTATCAACTGTGGAAATCATATCAGACTCCTGCAAAAGTTGATATGATCTCATTGCAGAACTAGAAAGTTGGGTGAGATGTCTGTGTACCGGTGGTGTGACCTTTCTCCCTGCTTGGACCTTCTGCATCAGGGGATCACGCTTCTAATCTAAAGGTCTCTGCAGTTCTTGCTCAAGCGTTGCCGCTTCGTAAGTCGTGGGAGATCAACGGTTACACGAAAAGGTTTAGCTTGCATTTCTAAAACCTGATGTCAGCTCTATTAATATTTTTTTTTTCATCGAAAATAAGAATTATCGATTACAAAAATTGATTAATTGTACTTTTTCTTCTATGCAGACAAAACAATTTTTGCCAGTGAGTTAAATATCCAATAAAATTATTGTTATGTACAGGGTTATTCAGTTTATGAGGACCCAATCCTAGGATATGATTCTAGACGATATTTACAACAAAAAAGTTCGTTTGATTTATGGGCCAATTTCGAACAGAAAAGGAGTTAAGTCCAATTTTGTTTTTTCTTAAGGTCACGTTTTCTATTTCATAGACAGCGATGGCACAGATAATACATAATTTATGTAATTAGCTATTACTTCATAGTAAACTGTACAAAAATTTCTTCAAATATAAATAGAGTTTGTATTTGTCAAAATTATTTAACGGTGACTTTTGACCGGCTAAACAAAGTCAAGTTGTATCTTTCAATAAATCATGGATAATTTACGATGTATTTTTCATCATTCTATAACTGGGCTACAGATACCACATTTATGAAAAAAACTCCTTTGTTTAATAGTACTTATATTTTGGGTAATAATAACAGTCGAGAAATTATGAAATTTTAATTCCATCTTTTCTATGTGCCCTGACAACTATTTTAGTGAATTAATTATGAAAATACACTCTTTATCCATTAAGAAAATATCATTTTTTCAAAAATTTGTCATAAAAAGGTGATAATATATCAAACACCTCATATAATTACTGTGATAACTCATTATTGTAAATGAACATTTATAAAAATAAAAAAAGAAAGCATTAAATTGTTAATTTTTTTTTTATTTGTTTTCAATTTTAGGATTGTAAGCAGTTAGTTGTTCACTTAATACTATACGGACAAATTTCCACAACAGAGATCTGAATAAAAAAAGCAATGGATGATTATAACCTTTTTTTTATTTGAATAAACTGTATTCTTTTATATTTTTTTTACATTTTCATAATTAGTTTAATTAAAGAGATGTAAGGTCACATGAAAAAGATTATTATTATCTCTGAAAGTGTTATGTGGTGCAAAATTCCAAATCACATAGTTTTTTACTCATATAAAGATGAATCTCAATTATTTCTGCAATAAGCCATAGACCACTGACTTGAAAATTCAACGTAAACAAATTTTTTTTTCGATTCCTGTGAAAATTAGTAATTAGGAGTTTATCGAGGTACGAAATATAAATTTCCACTTAGTTCCTCCTTATCAAAATATTAGAACCCACTTTACTCCTACGGCCGCTACCAAGCGATATGCAAATAAAGCTTATTTAAAATGGAAGTTAGTCCAGTTGTATGATGATAAAAAAACATCGCGAATAATCTATGGTCTGATGAAAACACAACTTCCCGTAGTTTAGCCGATCGAAATTGTCCTTTAAATGGTTTTGTGAAAGATAAACTCTACTTGTACTTAAAGAAGAATATTTTGTATAGTTAACTATGAAGTAGTTGTTAATAACCTAAATTAAATAGTTTTTGTGTTATCGCTTCCTAAGAAAGAGAAGACCATCTTTTGAAAACACAAAATTGGATTAACACTGAACACAGAAATTGGCCCGTGCATCAAATGAAGATTTTTGTTGGAATTTTTTTCTGAAATTACCCCTTAAAGTTTGTCCTTTAAGAAATGAATTCCCCCGTATAGATAGAATACTGCTATATTTCTTTCGCAATACTGTCATAATTGACGCAATTGCATATAATTTTGATTGTTCTTGTTTCAAAGCAATTGTGCTGTCAATAGTGCTAGATAAAGCAATTTATTCTTACCTATTTTATTGTGATCCTATCTTAACAAACGTATGTGCCGTAAATGTCGCTCTGTAATTTTAGTGACAAGTGGACATTGGAGATGATGGCATTTCTGAAAAAATTATTACCATGGGTAAAGTTACTCAGTTTTTATCCATATATGTTTTAAATATCCCTTCCAGTCACGTAAATTCAACAGATGGCTCAATACTGAGTTACTGCAGGTGTTAGATGACTTAATGTCTGCCCTTAGGTGGATAAAAGTGATAAGTGCACTTACAACCTCCATCAATAAACAAATTTCCTATTTATTAGTACTAATTCAATCGCCATTTCAATGAATTTAATAATCGTCTAATATGTCAATGAAAACATTTGGATAACTAACTATGTTTTTTTAAATGTATATATAAAAGAAAAAATGAGGAGGAGGTATAAAATAATTACAGATTCAGCTTTACAGGTATCAAAAAAACATTATTAAATAATATAAATTAATAGACAAAGATTGCCGATCTCCATATTGAAAACTCCCCAATTCCGAAAGTTTTCGTAAATAAAATATTTGTAGTTTAAGATGAGATTGAGATCAAGCTATGTATGAAGTTTAAGCCGGATGCTTATTTGATTTGATAAAAAGAGGTTTGTAGTACTGAGTCTGTACCATGGACTACTACTGCTGTCTCAGTTTGATTGCGGACTACAAAGAATTTGATTGCGGAACAATTATTCTTCCTTTATCATATAATAAAAAGAAAAGATCAAAACTCTTTTCCTATATATATATATATATATATATATATATATATATATATATAATATATATATATATATATATATATATATATTGCTTTTACACACAATTGATAAGCAAATATTTTTTTATCCCTGCTCTTTAAAACTCTTGAATCATTTTTGATAAAAGTGACTGCTTTTTATCGTCTCGCTCGCACGACTTTCCTTATTGCTAAACAAATAGTCCAATATAAAACTTTTTCCTAATATTAGGAGTACTAAGATTTTTTGTTTTATTTTTTTATTTAGGGTTGCTTAAATGGTCAAGTTGCTGAATTGTGAAAATCATAATGGGCCGCCTCTTAACAGCAATAGGATCACTCATCATAACAACTGACTTGACTGAAAGCGTCTTCAGTTTAGTAGGATTGTTTTTGACTATTTAAATAAAACTTGAAATAGTTAGCATAAACGTTATTTATATTTCATTTTCTTTGCCTAGTATAAATACTTACTGGTCTTTTCCATTATCCGTATGTTTGAACTTGGAAATATTTGTTCTCTCAAGTTGACTCTAGTATGCTTAACGGTTATAAATTTATAGTGACTGCAAAGCGATGGGGGTCTTTGCAAGCGTTATTTTGCGGTTCTAAAAGTAAAACGTATTTATATTTGATATTGATAGTACTAATATGTGAAGGCTTTTGCGGTTCTAAAAGTAAAACGTATTTATATGTAGGAATTTGTAATATTTTATTTCATCGGGCTGTTTCTTCTTCGGTTCCATTTAGTCTTTCTCATCGTTGCTCCTAGTGTTATAAAAACAAGCCTTGAGCTGCATCTCGAGTCATGAAGGCTCGGCTATAGAACCTTTAAACCTCGAACCTCCAAGGCTCGAGCTGAAAGCTCACATGATTCTAACCTTGATGAATTTTTCTTTAAAAAAAAAATTAAATTATTGTTCTATTTCGTAAACAAATACATACAGTTTTAGTTTGTTGTAACAAAGTGAATATATTTCCGAAATATACATTGAATCTATTATTTCTCTGTTTATATTAACCATGTGAATATATTTTTGAAATATAATGTAAATAAATAGATAGGAAAAAAGAGTGAGGTTTCAGACGCGAGCCTTAAGAGTCCCTTACACTGTCAATATTATTGAATCAATATCGAGTTTCATTGGCAATTTGTTACGAGTAGGTGGGTTTAATCCCCACCTCCTCCCTCCAATTTTTGTTTTAAAGATGAAATGGCATTATGTTTGGATAGGTGGGTGATGCTTTTTTTTACTTTATAATGATGTAGATATGGTTGACCGTGATATAATATGAGAAGGAGTTGATTGGGGGGTGCGGTCAAATAAATACTAAATTATAGAAATAGTATTATTAAATAATAACTATAATAATACTATAAATTAAATAATATTATATTCTATAATTTTGTATTTAATTTTTTCATTGGGAAGAAGAAATGAACCTGTATACGGAAGACCGCCAGAGAGGGTGGAACAGGATGCTGGATAAAAAGAAAAAAAAGAGCAGGCTGTGTGCACAGCTGTAAAAAAATGTAATTGGTCTGAATGCAGCAGTGAATTGTAACGCATGCGTTGCTACTCACTACTGCATAACACCCGTATTGCCTTATCGGCAGGGTAGGGTGTAAATAAAATAATAAATAATAAAATTCTATAATTTTGTATTTATTTGACAGCACCTCCCCGATTAACTTCTCATTTTTTATTTTATTTTTTTCTCTGATGTGGTGGGGATGGACAAATTACCCAACTCTCTCCCCCTTCCCCCAATTTTTTTTAGAATGATATGTTGGCGATATGTTTGGGTAGGTGGAAGTTACTTTTTTTACATTTAATTTAGTTTTTAATGAGGGATCT